CGTAATTAGCATTTTTTTACTGTTTTCAGTTGTACTTTGCTTTATGAAGAGTCGTTGCTGGCTTGAGAGAAATGATGGAGAATAGGATAGGGGCTACGGTTTGACTGCAGACGACCGAGGACCCACGCTCTGGGAGCAAGTCTCAATGGCGGACACGGACACATATTAATAACTCGTTAACTCAGCGGAAGTTCGTCAATCGAAACAAATTAGCTGCGAGCGGCTCGCTCTTTGCTTGAAATGCTCGTATATGGGGCTGCTTGTCACTCGAGGCTTCATTGCATTCAGAAATTGATTAAGGAAAACATTTGCGCATTTAAATGGGATAGTGGCACCTTCATGTCGGTTACCAGAACAACTCCAATGGCATAACTACGCATGCAGACCGGAGGGTTTTCACATGAAACGCAGGCCCAAACTCCAAATCAGAATAAGCGCGAGATAAAAATACCCCTCTGGTAGTTCAACCGTCGTGCACCTCACGGATTTGGCGCAGGACAGGAGACCTGCGCTGCACCTACCGTGCCATCTTTTCCCTCATCCACCCTGCTTTGGTGTAACAATAAGGCTAAGATGACCGCATGTGGGCAGAGGCGCAGTGACTGACAAAACCAAACAGCCCGCCTACGCGTGCCACGCATGATACGGCGCCCACGACAGACACGGATCTCAAAAAACGTGGGAGGGCCAGAAGGCCAAAGTACAGAGCTACTACAACCCAACTCCCAATTTATCAGTAACACCAAAGTAAGATCATGCAGACTGGGTTACCGCGGTAGTTGGTAGATTTCTAAATCACGACTTTAAGTGCGTCGGCTAAATTTAAAAGCGTAGGCTTCATTAAACTGAAGAATGAGCTAATTTGCCGTGAGGACGGATTCTAGTGTCGGCCTGTACGAGATAAAAAACTAATCGAATTTCATCCAGAACCAAAAACAGACATTCAACTGTTGAGCACGAAGGGGGGGGAGGGAAAAGTAAACGATGGAGTTTTAATTCGCTCCTTGCCATGAACAGAAGAGCCAATTCGCGAAAATAGCGAAACTCGCATAAGAAAAAAATGTTAAGGGCTAGAGACGAAAGTTGATTAGGGCGCAAGCAGGTAGAGGGCCTGATACCATCTACGTTGTTCGCAGGGCCTGGCACCAACCACAAAAAACTCAGTCATCTCTTTTGGAACTCGGTGGGCCTAGACTGCAGAGAGAGCATGGGTACAGGAATACTAGTGGGAATTTGGCCCGATCACCAATAACACGATGGGAACTACGAGCTTAACAGGGACGATGTAAATTAGCAAATTATGGAAATTTTGCCATGGAGATAGCTATGCACGTCGGCCTGGGAACACGCTTTTTTGATGGGTGTTGCACGGCCAGGCGTCCACAAACGCACCCGTGAGAGGTTGAGAGAGGAAAAGAACAAAACGGACTCTGGGGAAACGGAGTAAGTACTCATAAAAGCACTTCCCTGTCTAGGAGTCAGCAAGTTCTCCGGCGTAATAGAGTTAATTATGCAAATGCGCTACACATGTGGTAGGCAGCGAAAAAGGGGAAGGCACTGAGAGTGCAGGGTAAATAATTTTTAGAAGAACCCCCAAAAGCAAATGTATGCTGCGAAAAACTAGCTGACATATTATCTAGGGTTTGAAGCATTTGTTCCCCGGTACAAATTGAAAGCAGGCAGAAACAGCAGGATTTATTGACATCAACAAATCTCGCGACAGCTTCCCAGCTGCTACCTGTCGCTGCATAAGGAAGATGCTGAGGACACATAGAGCACAGAATTACTGGCTCTTTCAACGAGCAAGGAACATTTGCTCTAGTGAGACCCTGCCTGAAGAGCTTTCGCGCAGAAAAATTAGCCCTACTCAACTGTGGCTATCCGGCAGGCTTTATTCAAAAGCATAACGATTATTTACGGTCAAAATTGATGGAACAGTCGGTCCCAAAAAAACCCGTCATGATATTCTTACCTTTCAAGGATGACAACGTTTCCAATACAATCAAGCGACGGTTACGCTGTACTATAGAAAGGACCTACAACGCAGAAAAACTAGTCTTCTGAATATCAACTAAAAGCATTCCAGTAAAACGGGCAAAGGATGCCTTGCCATTGCATGCCACCTCAAATTGTGCTTACGAATTCACATGTACTTGCGGATGCAAGTAAATTGGGCGTACGCAAAGGCAACTGGCAGCCAGGGCCACTGAGCACTTGCCCAACTGGCTTTTCAAGCAAGAAGACAGAATACCACGGTCCGCTACTACCAAGCATCTATTAGGCAGCGATCATTCTTTCAAAGTCAAAACAGCGTTTCGAGTACTTGTTCGGGCCCGAACAAACCGAACCCTGCGCTATTTAGAAGCTGCATTTATACGGTGGGAGAAACCTGACCTATGCAAGCAGCTTGACAAAGTGGTCAACCTCCAATTTCCCTGGTAATTGGTCATTTAATTTCGTGTTTTTCGTTAACTTCCCTCACCCACTACTTCCCATATGTTGACTATGTTATAACGGTGCCCTGCGTTGCCAAATGTTATAACGGTGGCCAAGAG